TCTTAAAAAACGAACCTTAAGGCGCGTCAGATTTTTCTTAAGCCATAATAACACATAAACGGTTTATTGGTGTTGTCTCACGCCTTATACAATCGATACGAAGTTCAGATTATTTTTTATACCAAAAACCTGCGTGGAATGCTAGAAGAAGAGCGATTACATATACTAATCGTGTGATTTCTTGTAGAGAGGGGCGTTCTTATTTCTCAGAGTGGATGACCTTGTTTGACTGGTTAGGTCTGCTGTTGATCCTGTGTATAATACCTTTACGGTACATGGATCATATAGCACAGTGGATGGTGACATCTTTGGCCTTCTTGTTCAACTTCATGAGAATATTTAAATTTTCGTGTGTGTCAAGGTAACTTACAACTCCCAACTGATTACTTTAGTTCGGAATTAGCACTGATGAATTAGAACTCATCCCTTCGTCAATCTAACCAAACATTGCATCAAATATTTCTTAGGACTACAGGATTATACACACAAACCTTGGCTAAGATCATTTTACATGACGTCACAAGATCCATGGCAGTTTTTATTGTGATCTTTTTCTCCTTCTGTGGTGCCCTGACTTTATCACTTTGTTACTCCGGATCCAGTGAAAACCAAGAATTTCGGTGCGTCTCTGTTGAGTATATCTCATTAACAAAGTTATGAAGTTGTTTTGGAAAAAACAACTTGGATATCGTTTGTTACAAGTCAATAAAATATTTGATAATTTTCTTTGGAATTTGTTGAATTTGATCTGCTCTTCACTAGCTAGATGTTTTATTTATTCAAACTATTCTCATCCTTTCTAGCAAAAGCAATTTACTGGTGAACAGAACGCATGTAAAGGGAAAAAACCTAACATACTGCTTTTAATTTTGATTCTGCTTTTAGTGGTCTTGGAGACGTTTTGTTGAGCGGACTTCGTGCACTGTCCGAGCAGTATCCAATGGCGGAAAATTACTCAACTTTCAAGTAGGTGGTACTATTCTTTAAAGATATTGCTTCTCTTAATTTGCACGTAACGACTGCATCTACCTGAGTTGTAAATGCCAGTTCAAGGGGATCAGATATCAGCCTTTAATAAGAAATTGGGCTGGATTTGCCTAGGCCTGCTGCGCTGTATGATAAGTACTGCCTATGCATTCGTTTCTTGTAGTTTAGTTGAAGTTTGTGATTATTTTTTTCTGCAGATGGCTGTCAGTTCTGTTGATGATAGCGTACATGGGAACAGTGACAGTGATTCTGCTCAACATCCTCGTTGCACAAATGAGTACGACCTACTCATAGGCCAAGAAAGTCGCTCGTCTGGAATATGATGCGGATCGGATTTTACAGCTCACGCGCATGGAGAGATTACCTTTTCTGGTAAGTAAATCCATTTGGTAATAAGCATGGAGAGTTCAGAAGTAAACAGCGAGTGTGTGATTGAGGCTATGTGCGATCACAAAAATGTACTGCCCGCTTGTTTAAGTGTGAATGTAAGCGTGGACAGAAGGTTTAAACAATTGATTTACTTACTACGAATTTTCTCTCTTCAGAATTTACGCATAAAGTATTACAAGGGAGGAGACTGGGTCAGTGAAATGAAACTCGCGCAAGGTCTGTACTAAAATACATATACATATGTGTACCAATGTGATGTTAGCCTTTACGTTGTCTTTCAAAAAGTCGTTTGTAAAATGGAGACCGGGTGGAGCTTGAGAAAAATGAAAAGGATTAGCTGCCCACGTTTCAATCCCCTTTTCTGATTATTTACATGTCTAAGAAGTAATGCAAGAGAACACGTTTTTATTATCAGTCTTTTTTATTGTAATTCCTTCTTGTTGGGCAGAACGAAGTGCTATGTCGAGTTGATACTCTGTTAAAAATTATTGAAGGAACATATAGCAGAATTAACAAAGAAATATATAACCAAAACATACGTAGCATTCCAGCGCATTAATGTATCAAGGTTTCATTTTCTTCTAACTTGTGATGTTAGTTTCCTTTTTAGAGCTTCTTGAATTCAGTGAAGATCGTAATCCTTGGGAGTCGGTGGAAGAGAAGCTGAATGCGATCAGGTAAGAATGGTGCTTTTAGCACCTCTCTTCATTACTTTCGGCTCTTTAATGAACCTATTCGACCTCACAAAGAGGGCTTTCGTGTTATGAGTGTCGTAAAACTAAAGCTAAAATAATCACAAAGACGATCAATCAGGTCATTTGAGAGTATAAGAGGGCAATTTGGTATTATCAACCGAGTTGACAGCGTAAATTGGGCACGTTTCAAAGCTGACGTTTCGAGCGTTAGCCCTTATCAGAGCGAATGATGAAGGGCTAACGCCTGAAACGTCAGCTTTGGAACGTGGCCAATCTACGTTATCAACACAGTTATTAACGCTGAATTACCCTGTTATACTCTCCCACCGACGCAGCACCACAGTTTCCTCACAAACTTGCCCCTTAATTAATTTGAGAGTAATCTCACCAGGAATAAATAGAATCATCGAGAAATCAAACAAAATTCAACCAAACTGCGTTAAGCTCGGGAAAACGCGAGTGGCCAAAGCAGCAGTTGGTTTTTTTTGGTTGGAATTTGATTAGTTAATAAGGTTACGCAAGTGTTTCAGTCCAAGCGACGAGCAACTTGATAAAACCCTTCAAATACAACTGGCCAACCAGTACCTGCTAGCCCACGCCACGCATCCGTTTTCGAGTGTTGTAGCAGTTTATTGTATTGTGTACTCCCATTTACAGGGATATGATGAGAAAAATGGTCAAACAGATGAGGCCTCGACAAGAATAAACGGATGTTTGTCATACATAATGTCAACTTCAAACACCTTTCAAGACTAACGGTCGATTGGTAGTTAATTCAACATTGTAGTCCAGTTTCGGCGTAACAGACCACAACGTTAACCTCGTTCTCATGGTCGGGCAGGAAGAAGAGAGACCCTGGGAAGTAACTTACGGAAGTAATCTTCAACATTTTGAGCTGTTTAAGCAAACCTTAATTTAAGAATTTTACCCTATCGACTCGATTCATCGCACAACCAAGATTAATTATTCAATATTTGATTTACTGAAACGGTCATTCAATCATATTTGGTCAAAAACCAACCTTTCACAACCGTGTCTCTTCATGTTAATGAGGGAACCTCTTCTTCATTTAGAGGTTTAAGTCAGTAAATGTTGAAAACACTTTTTTTTAATATTACGTCTACAAAAGAGAATTTTAAGGAACTGTTCTAAACTTTATTAAACTATTAACAATTTTTTTTCCAACTTCATAATTCTACACCAGCTAGTAATTTCAATAACAGGTATGAAACCAAGAGTGTAACCATTAAATTAAAGTCTCAATTGAAAAAAAGAATTAATTACACACAGCTTTGATTAATCATTAAGTATTTAGTATATTGAAATCTTTAGTATCGCTCTCCATGAATAGACCGCCCTCCTTTACTCTCTATACCTTCAGCTCAGAACGAAAAGTCATCTCCAAGTAATATTTTCTTCATGCGATATTCAAGGTGAACTAAGGTGGGAGTTCCATTGGGAGGGACTTTTCCATCTTCCACATGAAAAATTCGCTTGTCATCGAAACCAGTCGGGATCCAGTCATTCTTTGTTCTTTCCGTGAAGTGGACGATGATAAGTCGTTCCTTGACAAGTTCTTTGTTTCCTGTCAACTCGTCGTGAATAAATTTTCCATCAAACGTAATAAATTCACCTTGCCTTTCTTGTTGTCTGCCTTGAATGAGGGACGAAGCTTGTCGTGATCCGATCAACAAGACGCAGTCACAGTGCCGTAGTTCTTGTTTGAAATCTAGATCCTCTGCTAAGATGTTGGTGATATTTCTCATGTCTGCTATTTTCCGCAACCTACCCTGTAAATAATCCATCAGTCGCTCGGCGCTGGTGCTGTCGCTCTCAGTGTTCAAGAACAAAGCGTATTTCATCCTCGACTTGAAATTGTTTGAGATTAGAGACAGGTTGAAGGAACAACGATAATCTGGATAGCTCAAAGTAACTCAATAAAGTCAACAACGTCAAATATTTCAGGTAGAGAATGAAGGTCTCGCTGAGGTCTATATGCTTGTAAGGAAGATTTTGGGGTATATGTTCCATACAAAATGTGTGAAAATTAGATAGGGATTCGTCGTCACCTACGTGATTGATAGTAATCATTGGTGTTATTCATTTGGCTCCGGCCAACTGCGAGAAAACGATAATGGCACCTAATCACACAACATTCCAAACGCTGTTCAAGGGTGGAGGGTGACTAAACACGAAGGAAGAGTAGAATGTTTCAACTTGGCACAATATCTTAAGCAACGACTGAACATTCATTAGAGCCTTAGCGATATAACTCTCAAGATAGCTGCATTAATTTTAGTTGTTTAATTGTTTCGTTCATTACTTCACTACCCTGTTCTGAGCAGTTAGTCTGTAGGGACTGAAGATCGAAAAAAGCGAAGCGAGACAGAGACAAGGAGGGTTAACTAAGAGGGCAAACGGACTTCTACGAAGTACCGATTAACTAAGAGGGCCTCGCTCGCTCACTAAGTTAGTCTTTATTGATTGAGAACTTAACAGAGGGTATCCATGCATGATGTTGTTGCTTTCTTTTTCAGTATATCACTTTCTTTGTTTAAATTCTTCGATTATTTTTGGGTATATTTGGAGGAATTTGGGGTAGTGGAAACGGAATTATGTTGAGTATAGAGCGTTACATCTCTGTAAACTACACAATAATTCACATTAGGGTAAATTTTTCTCACCAGAGCCCAAAGAGCCTTATGCCTACTAAACAATCCTCTTACCCTTTACTGTTAGAGAGAGGCTGGGAACGAGGTGCCCTTGGCCAAAAGACCGAGCACGACAAAAACTCACCATACAATGACCTGTAGGCGAAACTCACCGCATGTGAAAGGAAATTGGTGTTTGAGTGTAATTTCTCTAACTTTACTTCTTAATTGTAAAAGATCCCTGCATGATTAAGGTTGATTGATCGTTCAGGTTGTGATGAAGGGTGGAAAGGATGAGCAGGAGAAGGAGTCATCAAAGAGCACTGAAACAGATAAACAAAATCCTCAATCTGAAATTGATTATCAGCAGCAAAATGTCTTTGAAGATGATCTGGACGCAGAGTTCTGGATTAAAGTAAGTAAAAAGCGTTTCGATAGATTATGATTCACAATTTTCTGTCGGTAGTATGTTTTAAGATGTCGATGACCGATAAGTACAAATGGTTTAATTCGTGTAAAGGAAAAATTAGTCAACGATAAGTACATTTCAGATGCTTTCCAAATCTAACTGTTGACAATAGACTACAGATTTACCCCCACAACAATTGCCAGGTTTCGTTGATAAACTCCCTTCTAGTATGTTTAGTATTTCCTCCTGTAAAAAATAGAGGTGATATCACAGAAAAGTGAAATGAAAAAATTAACAAAATGCACCATTACAAATATAAAATGATTCGCGTAAGAAAAATTTATGAGGAGGTTGATTGCAGGATATTTTTCACATGAAGAATCAGAGTCGGTGACCAGTTTGCAGATATTTCTGTCTTGAAGGTTCTCAGGCATTCATATTCCAGGTTGCAGTTTGATACTGCACCATAGCAAATTTTACTTCAGTGACATTTGCTGAAGCAACGCTAGACTGACCAAAGATTCAAGGTACTGCTATATGTCTTCACAGATGAAAAGCTTTTCTGTGACTTACTCAGAAGAGTTGTTTTCAAATGCTATGAAAATTAGCTTGAATTAGCTTGCAAGTATATATAGCTTTCATTTATGTCCTTGATGATGACATAAATATGGTCTGACAGCATTTAAAGCAATTCACGACCACTCTAGTAACTCTGGCAGTTATAGGTAATTGATCTTTCTGCAGTTGACATTCACAAGTCACTTCTGTGACCAGTCAGTCACACTATCAGGACAGCCAGTTTTCCACATTATTTTGATCAGCACTCACCAACCAATGACTTAATAGTGGAAAAATTGTGTCATAGATTGCACAACAGTAATTGGATACTTATGTGATCAGGAGCCAGTTACACAACAGATAGATTAAGAACAACCCATCATAGTTGAGACTTAATTTGAGTAAGGATTATTATTATTATTTTTGTTATTATTACTAGTATTATCAATTATTCAAGGAGCACGTGTTGGATATGAAATGATAGATAGCCTTGTGGAGTAACTTTTAGTTATTATTATTATTATCATCATCATCATCATCATCATCAAAAACAAACTGAAGGTTTGTCATGGAACAGAGCTATCGATGAGGTTCATGTTGCAAGACTTATCAAGACATACAAAGATAATGGTGAACTGAACAGTGAAGACCCAGCACTATTGATGTTAAAACAGTGGCCAGCATCTAGACACTATAAAAACTGTCCAGATACACTTCCAAGCCTTGCACAAATGGTATGCAAATTAAGTTATTGGTATACTAGTCTTATGCTTTCAGTGAAAGTTTTACAATGTAAAATGAATATTTCATGACATGGAAAATGAATCTGAACAACAATTGGTACACTATAGAGTAACCATTTTGAATTAGTGGCTTCTGTGTGATGTGCAATTTCTTAATAGTTACATCACAACAAATAAGTGCATTTAAGTTTGCTATCTCATGTATTATTTATAGTTCAATAAATTAATTTTTACCTGGGTTTCTACAGATTTGATTTATGCTTCCTTGTTCTGAATAGAATCTTCTGAGGGAGAATAGACTGAGTACAAAACTGAATAAAAAGATAATTAATTGCATTTCATGACTGGTATAGTTACATCTGCATGGGTATTGAAAGTGCTGCATGGGCTTGAAAGTGTTTTGCTAAAAATTTGCAGCCCTTCATGGGTGAAATTATCATTAAATTAACCTACTGCAATCCATTGTAGAAGATGTCCTGAACTATTAAATTTCAAAAATTTAAAGTCACTGACAATAGATCCACACTCAATAATAAAAAACAATTGTCATGCCAATATTTGTTTCTGCAGATAAATTGTTTGTTGGAGATTCTGTTAGAAAGTGAACTTAACTCAGACAGCAGATACAAAATGTTCAGGGATGAAGAGGATAAAACAAAGAGGACATTGCTTCACTATGCTGCAGAACTGGGCTTTTTACAAGTCACTCAAACTCTTGTGAAAAAATGTCCCTTGCTGTTAGCTGTGAAAACCAAAGGCCAGCTAGAGCCTGTGAGAAAAAGAGCTGCATTACCAGTTGAGTTAGCAATACAAGCAGAGAAAGATGAGGTGGCAGCTTATTTGATTAGAATGATGTGGCATGATAGGTACATACAGCATATGAAATGTTAAGCTCAAAGCACTGTAGTTCTGTGAGATTCAAAGGGTTAGTACAAACAGTTTGATAATGATTCCATTTCCTTTGGGTTTGAAACTCCTTTCTTTGTAAATGGGATTTAAAAGTAAGATTTAATTAAGTTATGCTTAGTATACATACAGTATTGTGCAAAAGTAATGCAAACACCTGTCGACGAAATTCGGCGAAATTCCTGGCTTTTCGACGAATTCTTGACCGAAACGAAACTTCGACGACATTTCCGCAAATTTTCGAGGCATGTATTGTTTTGAACGGCTCGAACTTTCGGCGACAAATTCCTTGATGGTGTAAATGCGACTCGAAATTTCGACGGCTTTCCACATTCAAATAATAAATTTAGCAGATGATGTAGTAAGCTAAAACTTATTGTGAATTCAAGTACTGACAAATGACAAAAAGTGACAATAAGTATTAAAAGTAACTGCTGAGTGCCATATGTGTATTAGTGCACACAATTTTAATTTTGTCTATCCTTTTTTATTCAAACATTTTCCATTTCCACTGTCATTTATAGGGTTCAAAGTTTATTTTCTTGGAGACCAGAACATAAGATGACAAATCCAAAGCCATCTTTCTTCAGTTTTCAGTCTATTATTGAGAATTCCAAAATGAAGGTGAGAATGATATTTATTTATAAAATGAATGCATAAATTTCTTAAGAAAAGTGAAATATATGTAAAACTAAATGCAATACTGGGATCAGAAGAATGCAGAACACTTTCAAATTAAGAAATAAATGTGTTATTTTATTTAATAGCAGTTTAATAACAGTTTTTAAGTTTAAGACAAATAAAAAAAGTGAATTTGTGCATGTTTTCATACAATTTTTATGTGTTTCGTTTTGGTGTGTTTTAGCATTTCCAACATGCAAGGAAATATACAATAACAAAGAAGAGGAAGATGCCATTGAAGGAGTCTGGAGAACAATAACTGATGATCCTGTAGATTATCACTTTTATTATCATGTCTTAGACGGTGATGAGGCTGGAAGGCCTCCAAAACTCGTGGTCTTGGAGGATCAGCAGATAATCAATGGATTTTTTAACTTGAGAGACAAGTCCTGTTTACATGTAATTGCCAAATGCAATAATAAGGTAAAAAGTGGTATATCTTTACAGTTATTCAACAAGCATGCTGTGGATATAAGATGATAGATGGCTGATGGGGCCCGCAGGGCAGAGTTGGCTACAATTATCTTATATCCAACAAGTGCAAGTAGAATAATAATTATTGTTTTATTAAAAATTCCCTGAGACTGCAAAGATAAATCTCCCCAAATCTTAAAATTTTGTAGCTCTGTTTTAATTTTGAGGTTACCCATACACTTACCATATTTGTAGAGTGTGGTATAATGGCTCATAACCTGCGATGGCTAGGCCAATGAAAACTTCTGAATTGCATAATATCCAATGATCCAGTCTGTAATAAGTCGAAATATCAATTGTGATGTAGGGGTCCTTGTGTTAACTGTTTGATAACTTAAACCCACTGTAAATGAAGAGAGGCCTGTGACTAAGTCAAGCCATTTTATTGTCATGAAATTAGCACTCATTGTTGATATCAGTTTGGTTTTACACATTTTTTTCATATTGTCATTTTCAGGAGGCCTTGCAACATCCTGTGGTAAGAATGTTGATTAAAACCAAATGGAAAACTTATGGACACTGGTTTCTCAGGTGAAGTTGTTAAATGTTTTCACCACACCTCCACTATATAGTTTTCAACAACGGTGTTATGTATAGGGTGAAAATTTTAAAGGCATATTACAGCCTTTCCCCTAATCCTGCAAGAACTTTATGATACTTCATGCAATATGTCAATTAATTGCCTCTGGCTCATTTATTTTATAATTGTTATAATTTTATGATTACAGTTCTAGGAAACTTACCTAGAACTGTAGATTATTATTTATTTTACTGATATATTCCCACAGCCTTCAAGCAACACTTTATGTGGTTTTTTTGCTGTGTTTGTCATATTCTCTACTGCAAGCCTCAACTAAAGAGGACCCCACCCTGTATTGGGGTGCTGGTGACTTACTGCAAGGATTGTGTGAGATTTTCACCCTCCTCATGGTTGTCTCATACATATTTGAAGAAATCAATCAAATGATCAGGTGAGTGAGATTGGTAAAGGTAATAAAATGTGTGATGCGAGACTGATCTCCCTCAGAAGCAGAATGTACTATGAATTTTGGTGATGAGTAGAATGGCTAATTTCAAGGAGTGTAAATTTTTTTTAATCATGTTATACCTCCTGAGATCCGAAACCTCTCAGTTCTTAACCTCAGTTTGTTAAACTATAGCCTGAAACAGTTCCCTTGTTAAATGGTCACTTGTGCTCAGGCCCCAACTAACTAAGTTAAAGTTAAATGCTAACAATTAACTTACATCAGGGCTCTCTAGAGTTAAATTAGATGTTTTAGTCGAGGAACTTGACCATGTAGATATCTTTTGAATAAAATTGTTGTAAAGTTCTCAGTGCCGTTTTCTCTTTTGTTCCGTCTTCCATCTCTAAGGCGAAACATTTCTAAACAGATCATAGCCCCCACCTCCCTCAACCCCACATACACACATGTATAGCAAATGGTAATTTGCCTCGGGTTGTTTCAAACCTTTGCTTTGTCTCATGTCTTGTAGAGAGAGGCAGTCATATTTCACAGAGTGGATGACCTTGTTTGACTGGTTAGGGCTGCTGTTGATCCTGTGTATAATACCCTTACGATGCACTGGTAGCAAAGCTCAGTGGCTGGTGGCATCTTTGGCTTTCCTGTTCAATTTCCTTAGGATATTTAAGTTCTCTTGCGTGACGAGGTAAACAACAACTATAGCTGCATTTGTAGTGCACTCTCTTGCATTTAATTTGAATAGGGCAGAAGAAAAATTGAATTAAATCAGTAAATGAATGAGTGAGATAATGAGTGGATGAGTATGTAGATTAAAAAAAGAGTTATCGACACAGTTAAATTTACGGCGGCCATCACGAGTTTTCGTGCGCGGTCAGCTCTTTGGAAGTCTGGAACCAATTACTTTAATTTACAACTGGCAGGAGCCCCTTTACCCGGAGTAGGGAAGATGGAAGCTCCGAGTAAGGGGCTCCCAACGACTAGTAAATAATTTGTCGACACGAGAATATAAACGAAAGTATTTCTGTCAAATTCCTCTGAATTCCGCTCTCATTTTTAGATATTTCTTTTGTAATATGTGAAGTTGTTAAACATTTGAATTGCACAAAAATGTCAAGTATTACCTGACATTTTGAGAGGAATTTAGGACATGCGATTGGAGGCTAATCTCCTCGAGAGGAGCATGCCTGTTAGACCCTTTTGAAAATATCATGACACGCTAACATAAATTTCCTCTTTATGGCGATCGTTATACCCCGTAATTTTCCTTGAACAATCAAGATCGGCATTAGTGGTGGTTGTTTATCAATTTTAATTTTTTTTTATAAAATTAATTTGTTATTCATGGATTTCATCATACCAAACCCTTACCTTTCCAGGACATCAGGATTATACGCGCATACTTTGGCTAAGATTATTCTTCACGATGTAACAAGATCCATGGCAGTTTTTATTGTGATCTTTTTCTCCTTCTGTGGTGCCTTAACTTTATCGCTTTGTTGCTCCATTGAAAACCAGCAGTTTAGGTGGGTCTTGATTTTTCGGCATATTGTACCTATCACACATATTTATTGAGTCACCGCACAATAACATAACTATTTTGGTTACTTAAAATTTGTTTCAGAACACTTGGGTGATGTCTTTGAACTGGAAAAAAAATCTCTGTACGTGCAGGCCTTTCGCTCCTTATCGAAAGTGGAAACGGTTTGCCCGCGGTATATTAACCTAAGTTCAAGCCAAACCTAACCTTAAACTTGCCTGTGTGTTGCAAATAGCACAAGCCGGTTTTGTTTATCTGTAGCTAAAGTGTATAACTTTCAGGAGTACCAAAGGAGGGCAGAATGATGAAACTAAGGTTAATTTTTTCTTTATTAGTGATCTAGGCAATGTTTTACTGAGCGGTTTAAGTGCACTGTCTGAACAGCGACCAATTGCAAAAGAATACTCAGAATTTAAGTAAGTGGGACCACCATCAGCATTTCTTCTCGCAACATTTAAGACAAAGGTTTCCTGTTGAAGTACTTTCTTCTATACGAATATCTTTAGATTTTTTGCTCTTTTGATAGCTTTTCTATCTCAAGTATAATAACCTGCTTTGTCAATTGCAGCTGGCTCTCAATTCTGTTGATGATGTCTTACATGGGAACAGTGACTGTGATTCTCCTCAACATCCTCGTTGCACAGATGAGCACGACCTACACACAGGCCAGGAAAGTCGCTCGTCTGGAATATGATGTGGATCGTATTTTACAGCTGACGCGCATGGAGAGATTTCCTTTTCTGGTAAGTAAGGATACTTTGCTGATGAAATTGAAACGTTACATTATTTAATAATATAACGCTGCAATGATTAACGCCAAATAGCAGCGTGCATATGTACTACGTGTGAGTGTGAACGTGAGGGAGAAAACGATCCGGTTGAGTAGGGAGGAGATTATGAATACTTGCATTCCCCTGCAATAGAGAAATTATCTAAATGATTTCCGAAATATCTTTGCGTCTTTTGTTTTTCGCAGAATTTGCGCGTGAGATTTTACAAAGAGGGAGACTGGATCAGCGAGATGAAACTCACACAAGGTCTGGAAAGAAATATGTAACTAATACTGCCAGCACCTGTTTACTCTATGTTGCGATCTTAGGAAACTATTATCTCTTTTCTAATTGTGTTTCTTATTTCCATTTTTATACGGGAAGCTGAAAGAAATCTCCCATTAAGTTGATTTTCAATAGCAAAAGGAAAACACAATTTGCAATATCGTGCCTCAGCAGCTATCAGGTTCTTTATGTTCTTAAATTTGATCGTGGTTTGTTTGTAGAGCTTTTTGAATTCAGTGAAGATCGCAGCCCTTGGGAGTCGATGGAAGAGAAACTTACAGCGATACGGTAATAATCATTCCTTTATCGTATCTTTCCTGCTCTCAGCCTTATTCATGAACTGGTTCTCTCATTAATGAATTTGAATTCGAAAAAAGTCCTTATGCTCAACCTCTTCTGTTTCAGCAGTCAAGTTTCACATCATTTGTTTTATTTTTTTTGTACAGAGACATGATGAGGAAGATGGTGAAACAGAAGAGGCCTGGAATCGGATGAATGGAGCACTCTCTGCCAATGTGACTGCGGTGGGAATATTTCCCCAGTCTTTTTTTTTTATTTTTTATGTACCGATCTCTTTAGTCACTTAACTCGTAATTTTCACACAACCACGTTGACGCCTTACGTTTGGTTGAAGGCTCTAAGCCAATCCGATCTAAAAGCAAATCGCAGTTTAAAATGCGTTGAAGCCATTCGATTGGTTGTAAGTAAAGACTAAGTAAACAACAAACGGAAATCACCAGAGCTTTGAAATTCGTAAAACAGTTTACAGTAAAGCTTCATTTTTTAAGCGACACTTTTGACGGTAAACTTAGGTGTGATTAACTTCACATGTGTACAAAACATAGGAGGTTACCTTTGAGTAAATTGATTAAAAGAAAGTACTTGATTTTGCCGGCTTTGTTTTATGTAACCAAAATACTTCTCCCACAGAAATATTTACGAGATGCAAGGGTTCATTACAAGATATTTAGTATGTAAAGAGTTCTTTTATATATTTTTTTTTACCACAAATACTTTTATTCAAGTGTAGCATGCATTTAACAGAATAAAATCAAACGGGACGATAGCAAGTTGAACAACTACGGGAAAGACCTCTTAGTGCGATAAGGTGACGAGAATTCCTTGAATGCTTCCCTTTTTCGCTCCGAGCTAATTCATCGACCAGTCAACCTCGCATAGTCAGCGCAATTCGATAGAGAGTCGCAAAATCAATAGATAAATTATCATAGTAACAATAAGAATAAATGAAAATAGCAAAGAGAATAAAAAAGAACTCAGTAAAAGACAAGCAAATTGCTACATTTATCTACTTCAACCTACATTACCTTGATAGGGAGATTCTGTGACACTTTATTCGACCATTGTAATCAGTGTTGGTTTTTATGCGACAATGTTGGGCGTTAAGGGTCTTTAAAGGGAAAAGATGGAGTGGTGGTCATTAGAAGAATTTCGTCAGATTACTTACAAAGCGGCAATCAGGGCTGTTATGTTAAAAATAAACAGTGAGGACAAACAGAGCCGACTAAAACAGCTCGATTCAAGAGGGAAACGCAATAAATGACGAATAAATGGAAGCCGGTATGATGTCAGGATTAAAAATACCAAAGTCTGCTTCCCAAGTTATCTTGCAGTGCTTCCACGTGGATGTCACAATCAGTAGCTACTCTAAAGTTCTGTGTGTGTACAACCAGGCATGCGTCTCGAATTCTCATGAGACCTAGACCCAGATCTTTGTAAAGGGTCTCAGTGGGGTTAACCATTAGGCGTTAAACGGCCAAAAAATGTGGTCTTGAGGCGGAAAACTGGCACATTTTAGCTGTTAGCTGTAAAAAAAAGTTTACCGTAAAAAACTTTTTTGGTGACAACAGTGGATAGATATTAACCGCGGACCGTAAATTGGCCAAAAATTTTAACCGTTAGCCTTAAAAACCAACGCCCCATAAGGGGCGTCCTGGTAAAGGACGCCCCTTATGGGGCGTTGGTTTCTAAGCCTTCGTAAGGGTATTTTATGACCAATTCTCGTCTTCTCATTAACATACCTAAGCAATTAACACGGGTTTTGCTTGTTTATTTGCGCAAGTTTATGACAGCGACACTATAGTTTCACGCAACTTTGTAAATCAGGGTGTACTTTTACAATCATGAATTGATTGCAGAAATATGGCGTAGTCTGTATAGCGCACTGATTTACTCTACTACAGTCTTTTTTTCTCACATTGATATTAATCTCAAAAATCTAACTTTCATCCGTCTTTTGCTTGTAGTTTCCGTGGCATTTAATTCCATCCACACAACAGAATACACATCTCTTAAAATTTACACTTACTAGATTACATTCTGATTTAATGTCTAAATGATCAATTTTCGAATTTTCTGGTTGTACGTGTCTCGACCCTAGCTGTTTCTTGTTGCACACTGTATGACAGTTAAATATATAAGGACTGCAGTAGATACTGCTCAACAGCACGAAACCTTATCAAATCGAAGTCATTACTAAACGTTTTTCAGCCTCAGTTTCTCGTAATTTATGGAACATTGCATTCTCTACATCATAAAGGAATCTCCAAGCAATATTTTCCTTATGGAATACTCAAGCTGGTACAGCAAGGGACTTTCCACAATTTTTTCGCCCTGCAGATTAAAGATTCTCTTTTCATCAAGACCATCTGGGATCCAGTCATCATTGGCTCTCTCCGTTGTCAAGTATACAATTATAAGTTTGTCAGTAAATTCCCTGTTTCCCGAGAACTCTTCATGTATTACCTTTCCGTCAAAAGTAAGGAAGTCGTCGTCAGCCTCTTGTTGTTTGCCTTTGATCAGGGAAGAGGCGTGTCGTGATCCGACCAAAACGAAGCAGTCCCCATGGTAGCGAAGGTCACATCTGAAATCTTGTTCCTCAGCTGATATTTGGGCGATAGTTCTCAAATCTGCTATGTTCCGCAGCCTTCCCTGCAAGTAATCTCTTAGTTTTCTAGCTTTGATCTTCTCGCCTTCAGTATGTAAAAACATCACGTACTTCATTTCTGACCTCTTGAATTCGGGTGTGCGAGGGTACTGAGAAACGACCAAAGAAGCACTGCCCACCAGGGTTCGTTTTTGAACTTGAATAATTCAAATTTGACTGAAACCACTGAGGAGAAACTTTCAGAAATGGCACCGTTTAAACACCACGACTACGGTCGATAGGCTGCCTGATATATAGTGCAAGTGAAAGAGAGCATGATCGAGTTGCTCAGCTATAATAAATACCAAAAATTAACAAAACTCGTGCGAAATGATCATGATTTGAATGGTTACAAGAAAAATGCTAAGAAGCTCGGGATTCAATAGTGCGCTTCATTAGCAGCCCTGAATTTGCATATCCAGAAAAGCAAATGCATGCCTTCTCACGTTTTTCGACTTTCTGTGTGGAACGTTTTGTAAAGTGACGCCACTTGATTTGCGTTAGCCGGCAAGAGTTGATGCTAGATGGCGCAAGTTGACTGATCAGAATGAATCTATTTCGTTTGGCCAAAATTCTGACAACTCTGTGTAAGGAAGAGGCACGTGATATGAACGGTCTGTGAAATTACAGCTGTTCTGTCGTTAAAAAGATTTAATCGATTCTTTGAATTTTGGTGATTTTGTGTTCAATTCAAATGAAAAACACTTTTTTTGTGAGTTCATGGATTTTAGATAATTCGCTTGAGCATCTTCTCTTCCTCTAAAAAGTCTAGGCAAACGAACAGTGTGTTAGATTTGTTTCTTTATTACTTCCCATGCCATCGACGGAGCGATATATAGTCAACTGTTTCCGTCCCAGACGATCATCAGGCCAATACAGCGAAAAAATGAACCTAAATAGTTGGGACGTGATATGGCAAAATGGAATCGTTTTTAAATTTCAAGTTATGACAACAATATAAAAACGCTGATAACTCGCAGAATCACGTTTTAAAAATATAAGTCTTTTCGAACGGTCACAGGCATCTGGAAAAAAATACAACAACAAAACAAAAGCACAAACACTGACACGACCACACTAACATATGAAGAAAAGAATACCGATAACAGAAGGCAACTTATTCTGTGTTCGAGAGGTCTGTCGTGTTCCTAGCCTTGTTGTGTTGTTGTTGTTGTGGTTGCTAGCAATGAATCTTGATATTTTCTCAGTAAATCCTGCGAGACACTAGTTGTCTGTTTGTTTTCTTTTCCTGTCCATATGGATTTATCGGATTGCCTTCTGTTGCTGACCAAAAGGTTTGCGGTTTAGGAATGACAAGCCCCCGATAAGCGATAATTGAGCGGCACATGGCCTGTCAACTGCTTTCGCGAGTGGCACTTTATGTCTCTGTTGGCAGCAAAACTGGATTAGTTTTTAAGCTTTAGGACCTGATATGCCTGAAATATATGATTCAGAATGAGTAAAGAAGAACAGCACAACGGAAATCAGTAAATAACTGCGAACAAGAACCAAAGCCTGGCGTTGATCAACATCAAGATGTTGGCTTGGAAAATGAATATGACGTTGAGTTTTGGATGAAACGTAAGCTCAATTATCCCAGAAGTGGGTAAAACTTTGAGACTTTATTGATTTGGAAATTTGGAAACCTATTCCGTGAAATTTATGGAACCTTTTTGGTAGTTAATTGATGAACGTTTTACCGTTGTGTTCACTTCGTAAACACTGAAAATAAAAATTTTCGGGACATATAACCATAATTTCCTCAGCGGCGCGAAGATACAATTTGTGTTCATTACTGTAATTGTTTTGGTTCTGTTATTTTATGAGAAAATGAAAGTTGTGAGGGAAAGGTAATGCCAGCATAATCGCTCTGTGGCAAGTCTTAAAATCCTTTATAGTTAAAACTTAATCGCATTATATTATGCTAAGCATAACCTATGTTTTTAGGTTCGTTTAAGCAGAGCAATGGACTTTCATGGAGTAGAGCTATGGATGAAGTTACTGTTGAAAAAATAATTCAGAATTACATGGATAATGGAGAGGTGGAAAGTGAAGATCCAGCACTTGTGATGTTAAAACAGTGGCCAGCATCTAAACAGTACAAAGAAAATCCTGAAAGATTGTTAGGCCTTGAACAGAAGGTAAGGTCGAATAATCTGTGTTTGGATCATTAGTCAATTATTTCATCTTGATGAAAATTGAAGGGCATGATGACATGTAATGCGAAGGCAATCTTCTGTAAAGTGGTAATTGCTATGCCAAATAATTAAATGAAAAATTTTTAAAATATGACCAATGTGCAGGACAAGAAAGACTGGAATATCATTTAACAATTAACACTTGTCACCCCATGTTTGAGATACATTGTTTGTCAACACATGATCAAGTTACACATGTTTTCTTGCAGATCAATGGATCTTTGAGATTATGTTGAAAGTGAACTGAATGTATACAATAAATAATGGACATTCAGAGATGAAAAAGACAAAACAAGGAAGACATTGTGCATTATGCCTCAGAACTGGGATTTTTACATCTAAAACATTTGTAC